AAAATCATAGGTAAGTGGGAATCCCTCTCTAATCCTAACTTTCTCTGTTTATTCTTTAGTGGTGGTCCCCATAGTAGCACATCACCTTCACCTGATATTGTCTTAGAAATGCAAACTGTCCGGTCCTACTATAGAAACCCTGGGGTAAAACCTAGAACTCCAGATCTTTTGACATTTCACTAGTCTTCCAAATTACATGATAGGATTTTAATGCACATATCAAAGAAAACAATCACTTAAACTTACCCTCCTGAGAGAACAGGTAACACTACTCGGACAAATGGAGGATCAAATGGAAAGTTATCCTATAAAACAAATAAGCAAGCTTAATTAATTTAAAAACAACATTAATACTACTTTACTGAGAAGACTTTCCCATTGTCTATAAAGAATGTGTACATTTATTTTCTGATGGTGAGTGAAAGTCACAAAAGTAAAAATAGTTCTTAAAAAAAAAAAGAAAAGAAACAAAAGCCAGAGCAAAAAAAAATGAAGCCAAGATCCAAAACAGGAAAATGTGTTGGTAAACTTATGAAATATATGAAAGGATTCTGCTTCCAAAATAACAACAGAGGGTAATTATTTCAATAATAATAGATTAGGTAATGTGGATAAGTCCCTGCCTGAGAACTACAAAAGTAGGCACAAATATAGTAATTAGAGTACTATAATCAGGAAGAGAGACCACCAGAAAGCAGGGTTCTAATCCTCACTTAGGTTTTCCCTCAACTACAAAAAAAGGAGCTCACAAGCTGAGTAAAACTCACAAGGTCATGGAGATTAAAGGCAGTCATCAGCATCCACCAAGTCTCCTGCATTATAGGTTGAGACTAAAAGACAAATTGTAAACTGCCCTGACAAGTGAATGAAGTCCAGTATTAAGTCATCTCAATCCCCAACTGGCCCCCAACGCCTGAATCCTAGACAGCATCAAATATAAACCCTCTCTGGAAAAGAGTGTCATCCACGGCGTTAAGTAATTTTTCCAGTTTTTCATATTTAATGTTTATGACTAACACAATCAGTTATACAAAAATTAAACGTCACATTCAGTCCACAAGAAATCACCGTGACCAAAAAACTACAGATTTTAAAATAACTGCTAAACATATGCAAGCAAAGAAAAACAAAAAGGAAAATCCTGTCAGGCAGCTAAAATATAACCATTCTTATGAACAAGGGTGTAAAATAATGGTAGGTCAAGAAAAAAATATATGTATTTTTTTATTACCAAAAATTTTTTGTTTAAAAAAAAATGCAGAAATTCCTTTTGCAGCAACATGGATGGAACTAGAAGGGATCATGCTTAGGGAAATAAGCCAGAAAGAAAAAGAAAAACACTGGATGGTTTCACTCATAGCAGGAGCATAAAGGCCCAGGTGGGGGAAATAATAATGAACAACTATATACCAGAGACATTTTACAGGGGTGGAGTGGGGAATAGGATCAAAAAATGGGGGAGGGACATGCACTGGACTATGGTAATAGCACATGGGTGATTTGGTGATGAAAGCCCATGGGGATTACAACTGAGATGGAAAAAGGCACAAAATGATGTAAAAATAGACATTAAAAAAAAAGAACACAGAAATTCTGAAACTTAAAAATACAGTAAATGTAATTAATAACTTAATAGAGGAGTTTAACCACAGTGGAGATGTAGCAAATGTCAAAATCAGTACACTGGGGGAAAAACTCAGAAAACATCCAGACTGAAACTAGATTTTAAAAAGTTGAAAACAGAAAATAACAGTTATAGGGAAATGTACTGAAAAACTCTTATTAGAGATGCAGAATCCTAGAAACAAAGTGGAAAGAAGCAGTATTTGGAAAGAGAATGTCTGAGCACTTTTCCAAACTGATTTAAAGACTTCACAAGATTGAATCACCAGAACTACTTTAAGAGAAACCATGGAACTTCTGATATGGAAACAGTATCTCTGAGGTACTAAAATAAAGGAATTTCCCACTTAGAAGTCTATATCCAGTGAAAATACTTTCAAAAAATGATACCCAAATGAAGATATTTTACTAACAATAGACCCACAATAAAAGAAATATTAAAGGGCATCCTTCAGGCAGAGATGATCATACATGGAAACCTGGAAGATAAAGACCAGGAAAAAAAGCAAATATGCGCATAGCTCTAAATGAGCTCTGACTATATAAAAGTGATGTGTGAGGTCTCACAACTAACATGCATGACAATAGTAGTACATATTTAGCAAGAAGTACGTGTGCTCAGATCTTTGCACTGATGAGGAAATTAAAAAAAATATACATCAACAATTGATATTAAACTTTGACAAGTTAATGATATGTTGCAATTATAAGGTTGTAAGGAGGAATTCTCTTTCAAATTTTCAGTTTCCATATTCTCCACCTGGAAGCTAAGGTTTCCAGAAGAATAATTTTTTCTCTTAATGAACAGAAGCAAAGATGGTAGCTGAGGTAGCCAGGGGTGTCAGAGGTCAATCTCTTGTGATAGAGAAGGCTGCCCTCTACTTCCTTATTGCAGTGGGGCAGGGAAAAGCATATTGAAGATGAAGACATGTCAGCTAAACTTCATTTCATTTTTTCCAGTTATTTCTAAGGAACAGAATAATAGTTTTAACTAGAAGAATAAACAGCAATTGATTTTGAATAATTATAGTTCATTTCCTAACACTGAACTGAAAACCATCTCTTTACAGTTTTACTAGTTCTAACACCAGGCCTTCTGTTGATCAAAAACAAAAATCAAACTTGCTTCCATAGCCTTCAAATAGAAGACAAACGATCCCCATGCCTGCTACAAACCCACAGTTTATAAGCAGCTATCTTAGAACAGGGAATCTCTTCTGAATCCTCACTTAGTATTTCAAAATGAAACCAATTTTGTCTAAGTCCTTTAAAGTACTATTTCAGATTTCAACTCTAATTGAGATGTGTCCTGAAAACCAAAACATCACTTCCTTAAAAGTATCAACATCAATGTTAAAAGCATTAATATCCTTAAAAGTATATTCATACAGATTTACCAGTTTACTAACACATCTTATCAGTATCATTCTCTCCTGTCTCACCTTTATCCCCATCCCTGTGTTATATCTCAAGTTCTATTTTCTTATTACTCTGATTCTCAAATCATAACTGTGGATATCTAATGCCACAAATAGAGTTCATACCTCTATTGGTGAATTCTTTCTAAGTCATACTTCTTATCCTCCAAAATCTGTGAATCAGAGGGAATCTGGCAAGAGTAAAGACACTGGCTCACCTCTCCCAAATATTTAAAACCAAACTGTGTGTAAATAAAAATAACTATTCCTGGAGGCCAAACAGATGATGAATGTATCAAGAGGTACCACAACGCAGAGAGGAAGAAAAACTGAAATTCAGTAGTATTTAGAGTGTTACAAGGCTATGCAGCCCTGAGAGGGAAGGGCAACTGCTCTACTGAATTCTCTATTGTTGACTTCAGTACCCACTCTCACATTGGGGACTTTCGAACCCAGATGGGAAAGCACACAGTTGTTGGGCTGGATGGGGGAGGACTCTACCACTGGAAAAATATAGTAATAGGGGAGCAAGAGAATCTGCAACAAAATAATGAACCAGCACGTATGTGCTTGCAGAGGCAGATGGCTGGATAGCAGCCAGACAACCAGAGCAGTAAGGTTCTCAAGATATACCATGCCTTTAAAGAGGGGAGCCTGAGGACAGTGAATGGCTAGTCTTGGTGCTGCCACTTGCAGAGGCTGGAAAGTGGCAGCTTATAACTGCCATACATAAGTCACTGGAGCCCTAACCAGGGAAAGCTAGATTGGGTCACCAGGTAAAAAGTGCTCCAGGTAAAAAGTCCTAGGTGGTAGTGGCTCCAGGTAAAAAGTCCTAGGTGGTAGTGGCGGTATGTAAAACACTTGCCTCACCTCCATGGGGGAGTAAAAGTGGAGATAACTATATATGGGTGCATACTGCCACTAACCAGGTCTAAAAGCATCTGTGCAAAAAAGAGGGATCTGTGAAACACTGAACAATTCTGGCAAAGGAATAAGAGCCCCAGAGCAAGGTTTTGTACTTGAAAGGTGAAGGGAAGAAATGTCAGCTTTGACTCATATTCTAATCGTAACAACAAGAAAGACTGAGAGAGTCTGCAGGCAGGCACTTATAAACCTAGAGAAATACACACACCATTCACCTGTAATCAAAACTAGTTGGGAGAGAGGAGTGAGGTGAGGGGTGAATACTAGTTTCAAAGCCCACAGACCAGAGTTGAATCTCAGCTGAACCAAAGTTGTGAGGTCAGTGTTAGCTTGATACTTTCACGACACTTTAACTGAGGAATTAGCTTAGATCACTGTAGATCCTCCCTACTCAACCCAGGCCTGCAGCACCTTTAGAGGTCTGAAGTGTTGGTCCTCACTAGCAGCAAATTCCTGACACACTGGTTCATATCTCTTAGTCCCTGTTGGCAATTCAGTCCCAGTCATTCAAACAGGTGCAGAGGTGTCACTCCTTGAAGCAACAGATACCCAGGGAACCTGGATAAACAACCTAAGACTATAACCTGCAACCTATAAGCATAACTTAAAGCCAATTTATCAAGACAAAAAAAGAAAGTCCCTTATCTCAATCCATTAAATCTAACAATGAGAAGACAGAGGAATATACACAAATGATGGAACAAAAAAGGCTTCAGAGAAGTCAGCAGAATTACATAAGTTGTCTCATAAGGCCTTTAAGATAAGGTATAACCATGCTTGTTGAAATATGAAAAAGAATAGATGACCAAAACCCAAAATACGACATGCCTCAAATGGAATTACTGAAATTTAAAAATATCGTAAGTGTATTAAAAAATGCAACACAGGTCCTCAACAGTAGATAAATACAAGTAACTGATAGAAACCAGTGAGCTTGGATGTACAGTATTTGGAAAAAATACAGAAATGCTAGCAAGGAAAAAAAAATCAGAGGTGAAAACCACGTTATAGTTCTTTGGGTAATTTAAAAATGTCTGTATCATGGGAGTCCCAGAATGAGATAAGAAATAGGCATAGAAAAGAATATTTAAAGAAATAGCAGCTAATATTCTCTCTAGACTGGGAAAGGAACCAACTATTCTGACCAAAAGGTTTAAAGAGTACCAAACAAAATAATGCCAGACAGATACACTCCAAGACATATTATAAACAAAACTGCTAAAAAGTAGTAACAAGGAGAGAATACTAAATGCATCTAGATAAAGAAGAGACACATATAAGAGTATACGTACCTATTACATTACCTGTGACCACTTGGTCGAAACCTCACAGGTAAGAAG